TTGTAAAACCCCTCCATCCGTCCAGTGTTGCGAATGTTCTACATCGCTAAAGAAACTAAGAACTCGGAAAACTATAAAAACAAACAGCGCATTTCTTCGATATCTACATTCCAAAGCTTTTCCCAGTTCTCCAACAAGGGATCAGTATTCTTTTAATTCCTTTGATAATGAAAGACATCTGAACAATTTTCTCAATGTTAGGCTACTATCACACTCAGTATACAAACTAGACGTTCAGTAATTTCGGCTAGTGTAGTATAGTTTGTGCCGGAAACTTGTTGGAAATAGTTTTCTCCTCAATGGGAAGCTATTGGGAGACTGACTGTGTCCTTGCATGCGCTGCCGATAGCGCTCATCAATATCTATCAATGTGTAAATGTAGATGACGTCAACAAATCGTTAGATAATGGGCGGCCGCGCAGAGCGTGTAAGTAAGGGGTCATCAAATGATAATTAGAAATAAATTTAGCGTTATGATCGTGCGGCGAGTCAGCGCTTGAACAATTGATTTCGCAAATTATTTGCCAGCGCCGAGTTTCCGCATCATTACTAATTTCTCAATTACGCGCCTCGTTCACGGCGGAGCATTAATTATGTCGGATTTCAGAGGGGCCTCACGTGTGAAGAGGGTTGTTGTTGCGACGGATATGCGAGTGACATCGGAATCATGTTCTCTTGATTATGTTGATCAAGCTTCAGACACCTGAGGCCAAACTATTACATGACCCTTTCTAATCTAACTCTGATATCCGCTAGAGTGCCAACCAATTATTATTGTATGATTGCAAAATGTTCAATTCTTTCAAAAATTTTAATTGCATTTTTACAATGTTAAATCGAAATCACATTTAAGAAAAAGTAATCCTATGATGTTATGCCCTTACACGTGTCATCCACAATGTCCCAAACGCTGTTTTCTACTCTACTTGCGTTCAGTGATTGAAAAGTCGAAAATTCGAAAACGAGGCCAGGAAATCGACCGTCAAGAAAATTGCAAATCTCGCGTTCTTGTGATCTGTGATGCAACATCCCCACAAGAGGCAGGAAGCACGAGGACGCTTCAACGACATCCAATAAAATGCGGAAGGAAATATTCACTTATTGGACTTCTCGTCGGATGTTGATGTCAATCCAGACGAAACCAGATTTGGAATACCACAGAAATAAATTTCATAAAAAAATTGAAAAAAAAATTTATATAGAAGCCAAATAAAAGAATCATTGATTAGACAATCATGAGCACGAAATACCACTGCGCAACCTCATGCCAAATCATGACAAAGAAAAAAAATATTCAGCACATTTGTATCATTGAGTAATGATGCATTCCATTAAATTAATTGTGAGAGCGTTTGTTGGATAACAATACACATACACAGATAAGAATATGATGGGGCACCGATAGAAGGGCAGGAAAGTGTGAATGAAATGTTATAAGAATAGACGTGTAGAAATTTAGAAAGATGTCATTAATTAAGCGATGCACTGTAATTAATCATCGCGGCGAATCAACACGGTGCACGATGCGTACCCGTTGATATGTCCATAAATCAGCTTGATAATAAAATAGCCATCCTGCAAGTTGGACAGCATTGTGCTATACAATGACGAGTAAAATTGGCCAATAACAAAAAATATTGATCCTAATAAGTGCTAATAATTATTTTCATAATATAAACGATGTGAAAAATAAATGGCTATTTTTCGTTTTTCTGTGCTATATTAAGGATAATAAAAAGTGTAGACTGGGGGATGGACATAAATTGTTAATTAAGATGGAGCGATAAGATGCGTGCTGAGGACGTGAGAAGAAAATAGGAGAAAAAGCTTAAATGGCTTAATCAAGAATTTAGACACCTGGCAACGAGACCAACCACCTGCTTCACTGAACTACCTCACGAAAGATGGACGCGTCGAGTTCACGAATACACCGAGAGCGCACTTTTCGAACTTTCTTTAAATCTATTGATACTCTGCTTGTTTGCTTTACATTTATTTTACGTTTTTCGGTAGTTCTCGCCTTGAAGTTTTCTTCAATCACAGATAGCAGATTTTATGTTTCTATTTTTAAATCAGTTTCTTGAACTTTGTAGTTAGTTACTTTAAATTGATATTTTCAGAAAAGAAGATTTTATTATCTAACCAGAGAATGCTTAAAATGGTGAAATAAAAAATAAGGCAATTAAATTTCTAGACCTATTAAAAATGTGGCTACTAAAATAATGATATAACGACTTCATCAAAGTCGGCGAATAATACGATGAAAGTTAATTAACTTATCTCGTCATTTTTTATTATTTTTGTAAAAAACTTAAGTAAAAATGAATGCCCTTGAACATAGTCAAAAGTGAAATTATTTTAAATATAATATAGGTATATTTTATGATTAATCATATTTTGTTAAATTCAAGTTAACTTCCATAGAATTTAAAATGAATTCTAATTTTTCCACTTTGTACTTTTTCAGAGCAACTTCCTAGTATTCCTACTGCTGACTCCATGCATATTCAAAGAAAAATCTCCTTGTTCGTATATTCTGGAATTCGCTCCACCACTTCGTGCGCGCGCTAGAGAGTTAATAAAAAATTCATTTAATCTTAACAACAGGAAAGATTCGCGCTGCTCATAAAGAGAAGTAGGACCTTTGCATTTTTCTTGCTTTGTACTTCTTTCCAGTGTGGCTACTCGGCCGCGGTGCGCCGTCGCTTGCACATCTTCAAGTATGAATTGTGCGCTAAGTTGGAGGAATAAATTCCACTTTTGCGTTCCTAGTTGAGGATATGTATATAAGCCACGCCCTTCTTGAGAAGAAAAAAAAAGTTGCACTCTTTGGATGAATACTTAATTAAACGAATTAAGCATGCTAAGAAAATGAATTCCCATCAGCGTTACTCGGCAAAAAACTTGGCTGTTTGTCAATTTCTGCTAGATTTACCTCAATCTATATTCAAAAGATATTGACAACAAATTGGGGAAAATCAGAAACATGCTATTAAAAGAAGAACGCTGGAAGTAAAAAGGATGAACAGCGGCAAACGGCGCTGAGCAGAAATTCTAAGCACAATAAAAGCGGTCTGGTCCATTAGACATGTTGGAATATCTAAGTTTTTTTTTTGTTTTTTAAGAAGAAAAAACACATTTGGGCCCTTTTTGATATAGTTTCGGTAACGGGATAAATCAATAAAGTCTATCCATTAACTGCGATAAATTTTTTCCGAGAGACATGTCCACACTTTCGTATTATTCAAATGATTAAATATATATATATATATATATATATATATATATATATATATATATATATATATATATATATATATATATATATATAGCAAAAATTAAAAATTTAATTATAAGTATTTCCAGACAATTCTTACGTTTCTAACTTAATTAGGCAATGATTATTATGCAAGAAACTTAAATGAATACACAAAGTAATTCGACGGTATATCATTTCAAGTATAAACTAAAATTAGAAATACTCAAACAACAAGGAAAATGTGTAAAAAGAAACAAAATATAAGTTTTAGTGTTATTGTTCCCGGATGAATAATATGAAAATTTATTCATGAAAAGCAAAAAATATTTTATCTTGCCATAGCAAAATTAACCAACTTTGCCCGGCTGGAACAAGCCGTGGTGCCCTGGTGTGGCACTTAAAATTTGTGATAAATTTGTCCTCAAGATTTTCATGCGATACGCCGACTATCAATATATCCCCTCTGGCGACGGCGGCGAAAGCACACGTTTGTGTATGTGAAACGTTAATAATCTAAAGTACTTTGCATTTATTGGATGTTTTATAGCCCATAGATTCACTGACCGACGACGATCCGACATAGATCTTTTTATAGTTTTCCACCAATCTCACTGCAGGTCGAACGCGGACGACCGTTACTCTTCTACAGGGACGCATCCCGAGCCTATTCAACCGTTCGGCATTCATCTATTTTCTGAGCCATACTTTATAGTGTCTGAACTATAGAGAGGTATATACAGACAGCGGCGCTTAACATTGTGGAAAAGTCCAAAACCCTGAAGGTATGTTCGCTGGCGCAGTCCATCCAAATACCGACATAGTGCTCACATCGCAATAATGCGTTTGATCCGGGAACAAGTGCGGGGATTTCCCGGAATTTTCTGACACACTTGGTAGCACCGCGCGTCGTCGTTCACGTTGGTGGTAAGACAGAGAACCCCGTACGGACGGCGGCAACATCGCTGAAATTGATTCCCTCTATGCTCTACTGCGCTTTTATTACGCACTTAATAATTTATGATACGGTTATAAAAATAATTTTCCTTCAGCCTCCACCGTCCGCGCTCTTTCGGTGTGTACGTACAAAGCGTCGGGGGCACAAGAAGCTACGTTCATATTTTAACGATTCACGTGCATAAAGACTTTTGGCCTACGCGTGCTAAAAAGCGAAAAAAGCCGTTCAATATTACTGCGAGTAAGCTCACCGAGTGTAAAATTAACATTATGCAATAATGGAAAAGATGAGATACAATCGCATAAAATATAAATCATATAGAACAAATTAGAATTTTTACCAAAAAGAAAATCCAAAACAATTTGCAAGCGCAACTTTCCCCAAAGTTAATATCTTTACACTAACCCAGTATTCACTCATTCAGTGCGATGAGAATTCGTGCACGTGCCCCAGAAATTCGATTAAGTTATTGAGCATTGAAATTTCCATCCCTCAAGTTCCTTTCCTGTACTCGGTTATACACTCAGAAGAACATATTGTATAACATAGTCAAATGTTGCACGTGCACACTCTCCGCGCGAAGAACGAAAAGGACGCTTGCAATGAGAATTCGGGGAAGCATTAAATTTCATTCCATTCGATTTGTTCAATTTGTTCGATCAGCTAGCGTCCCTTTTTCAGTGCCACATTCTCTATGGACCGTGCACGCTCAAACCAGAAAGAAATTACACAACCAAAGTTAAAATCAAAAATAAATTTAAAATAAATTAATTTGTTTCCACTTACCATCAGTTTTTCAGAGCAGAAGACAGAGGAATTCTATGGCAAAAGAAAAGAATATGTTAGCAAACAATTAAAGCAAACAATTAAAAGTTAATAAATTCATTAAAATAAATAGTTTTCACAATTTGCTGAACAAATGACATTAATAAATTTAATTAAACTAAAAGCATCCATCAGCAAAGAGGTAAATCTTCTGCGCACAATTACTGCCAGTGGAAGCAAAGCTTGGTAAAATGCAATTTTCTTACTAAAATATTAGACTTCAATGTCTTCCAGAAGCAGAAGACGATGAAACGTTCCGCTAAAAAATGAGCTGCACTTTCTAGAACATTTAAATATTGCCTACTTCGAGATGTGGGAGTACTCTTTCATCAACGAAATATAGTGCAAAACTCCGAATATATGTGATGATCGAATTTACAAACAAACAAAAATCGACGCGTTGTTTGACACCTACTATAAGATCGCACATTAAATTCATACCCGGTTTATACTTTATATTACTAGGCTCATCGTGCATGATAGGATGATGTGGAAAATCCATTCGCATTATCCGGGATTATACTCCAACGTGAAATATATACGTTTCTACTACGCGGAGGCATATAGAGATGAGTGGTGGACGCAGCAAACGTCGACAAAAATCTATGTGCATACCGTCGTCTCCGACCTTTTAGTCCTCTGTCAACTTCCAGTAACTTCTACTAGGCGTTGTAGTAATTTTTATCAAAAGACCAACCTTCTAATCTTTTTTTCAAGTTTAGATGATGTGAACAACTTACATACTGCTTGAGTTAATTAATCATTTTTTCTATAATAACTGCGACTTGAGAGAGACGCTTGAAGTTATAACAGTTCCAGTTTACCCTGCAGCGAGTGTTGTACCCATGTCTGAGGCTGCTACCATCCGCCCGGCCCGGATTATCCTTTTCAAGTTGGCGTTAAACTATAATACATGCCGCTTACGAGCTTACACTAAGACATTGCTTGGATGGTAGGATGGAAGGACCGTTTGGCGCCCTGACTATCACCAGCAGGAGGTGAAGCGTGAGCCATGAGAAAGAGCAAGTTTCACTGAGTTCCCCCCGTGCTGGGCGCAGGAGTTTAATGTATTTCCTTGCCTGATTTATGTACGAGATGTCCTCTTGCATGTGGACTTGGACTTGAGTCTTGCACTTGGACTTAGACTATGACTAGAGAGTTACACCTACAGCGGCCAACATTACATCCTTACCAAAAGCCGTCTTTATCCTTCGCACCGCAGGTCATCGTAAGTATGCTGAATAATTCCGAAAGTTTTATCCCTTGTCGCGCCCATGCTATGAATGGACATAGGGCTTTGAATAATTCCTGCCAACATTAATGACATTCCACTTAAGAATCTTCGCCATTCGTTTAGTGCTCCTTTCAGCTGAGAGAATTCAATACCGGTTTAAAGGCCTCAGTAGTGGTTTGTGCTTCCTCCACGTGCTGGAAGCAATAAATTTCAAATCGTTCGACACTGCGCGCAGATCCTATCTTTATTATTAGAGGGTGCATCTGGGGGTTCTGCGTGTGGGTGCGAAACCGCGCCAAGTGCCACGGTATAGAGATGTGAACTACGTGAATGTGCTATATATACATGTGGGAACGAAAAAAGATGCGCGCCACTTCTGCAAGCAAGTTATGAGGTAATGAAATCTCGTGCGCTCACCCTCGGCAATACTTTCGAATTGTGGCAAATGTTCGGGGGATAAAGACCCCTAAAAGAGTTCCGCAAGTGCAATTCAAACTCTGACGCCGACGCAATTCGAAACGCACACGTATTACGCATCCAGATAAACCCGGATGTGGTATAGTAAACGTAAAAGTTGGGGCGCTCTGAAAATGTGCAACTGTTAGAACTTGAAACAGATGCAATGGAATTTTAAAAAGTACAATGTTAGATGAAATATCTGCATATCAAGAGAGAGAAAATCTAAAGTTATGACATTTAGATTGAAGTATAATGCCATGAAAAAAATTACAGTAATAGAAATATTTGGTAACAAATATTTTAGATATTTTAAAAGATAGTCCATTTGATTCAATATGGGGCATATATTGATATATCAGGATTATAATTGCATTAATAAATTTAATTATATAAACTCTACATCATTGCTTTAATCATTTTGTATTGTGGCGTTATGAACTTGTTGTAATTGTTTATTGATATGCGGTGAAATGTAGAACGCAAGTGCGGTGGATTAACGTAGTTCCCAGGGAGGACAAGATCATGAAAATCGTAATTGAAACATGGAAATAGTCATGTCAATGGAAATTGCATTTTTAAATTAATCGAAGCATTTCGCAGGCATTGAATATCGATCAAAAACTGCAAGGATATCCAGTGAAAATTCCAAACAAATCCGTCGGCAATTAATTGTAACAAACTAACACAACCCACGATTACATAAATCGTGACTTAAAATAAGTCTTCTATTGCAATTATTATATTATTAATAAAATTAATTTTATACTACGGTGTTTATTGGTGTGAAAATTTCTGTTGAAGTTAATTGTGCTGCAAGTTTCGACGTATCCTTTTTCCTTCCTCTCGGCAGTGATTGATTCTGAATGTAATTAAAACGGCTCAACTAATACCTGCGCGAAGTGTTCGAAGTTTCCTGCGGCATTTTCCTCGACTTTGCCGGTTTCACGCAAACGCGTACTGAAAACTTGTGCGCGTCTTTCATCGCCAACTTGGAAAATACGCCCAGGCTTTCTTTAGGACGCTTATAATCGCATTTTAGTTTTCACATTGAACGACCGAGTCTTAAACGTCGCGTAATATCCGCGCGCATAATCACTAAATGCACGATTTAAACTTTAAACAACCTTCAGATCGAATCTATTGCAGTAGTTGTAAAATTATGAAATTATTCAAGTTTAAGACTAGCGTATAAATACGATACCAAAAAACTTTGAACTGAAGCGTTTCCAAGTTTTTAAATTAAGTGGTTTGTAATTCATTAACACACATTACAATTTATCGCAGATTGCAATAGTTTACCATTCTACTAGACTTTGGAATGATTTAGATTGAAAGGATTGAGACAATAGATCCGCCGCCGATTATGACGGTCGGAAGAAACAAGGCAAGATTGAAATGGATAGGTATGTAATTTTCCCGTAGAAGATGGAAATACCAGTCTTGTTTTCGACAGCGGAGAACGCAAACCAACAGTGGAATGGAATGAGATGCGTGGTCAGACGAATCCAGCGAAGTAATGCTATGAATCGCAAACAACTTGTAAATTTGCAACTATTTGCGTCGGGATTAGAATAGTTTCGCTCGTGTTCGACTGTTACTCGTAACTGCCACACACGCCAGACATAAGCAGACATAGATTTTATTTCGAGCAGATAATTTAACAAATTACTGTTAATTGTGATTTATATACAGAATGTTGCAAATAAGGTTATACTGACGCGATCGTATTAGTAGCTAATGTTGGTATGTGAAGGTCAAAATATGCCTAGGTTAGGTACAGTCTTCAAAATTCGTTTGATGTTTAACGTTTCGAAGAAACATCAATTTTACGAGCGCAATTTTTACAACAAGTCTATAAAGTTTGGCACAACAAACAACTCATTTTGGCAAAACTCTTTCGCTCGTATGTTCCGCTGGCTGGTCACTAGGGAGGTCTTTCCCTTTGCGCCGCTAAAATACTCGCGTGCGAGTCGCGGTTATTACCAAAACGGGCTACTATTACCGTAACTGCATTCCGGAAGTGGAACAACGCTGCCGATACGTGCACGCCAAAGGCATTTAGATTATGCTGCGTCTGCGGCAGTAAAACCTAAAATATTTCGAGCGCACCAACCGCCACCGCGCCACCACTACCACCATCGCTATAGAGGCCCTATGCCGCCTTGGGATACTCCGGAAACATCTTTTTGTTTTCGCTGCTATATTTTCGGATGCGCAGCGGCCGAGATGGTGGTGAGCCAGTTACGTGTGCATGAAATACTCCTGCGGCAGAGCAATTCATCAATCAGACCGGGAGCAGGCGAATGAATAAGAGGGCGTCCTCGTTGGGGGCCAAGAAGTACACCATCGGATTGTTGGCTCCTTCACAAAGGATATTTTTTTCTTACTTACATTACGTGCGTTCGATCAAACATCAGAACAATGTCTAATTTAAATAATGTCGGGAGGCCCAAAAAGCGATGGAGCGATCCTATAGCTCTCCTTGGCCGACCACAGTGATGGAAGAACAGGCAAATTTTGCCTATGATGAGAGTAAGAAGAAGAAGAAATAATTATTTGAATTATATATATATATATCGCTATACTAAACAACTTTACAATGTGTAATTTAAAATTCTTGTAAATTTCTTACAGATTTCCTTCGGAATTTGCCACGTTTGCTCGTTTTGTATAATCTGTTTGTATTTTTATGTAAATATTTATGTAGGTAGTACATAACTGTGAGAGAACAAAAGCGTGTGCGTTCATTTGAGAAAAACGCCCACCGTTTCCGAATCATTATCACCGGCCCTTTTCACTGTGGTGTATTAGAAACGAAGGAAAAATGCATCCAGGCGGGAAAATTTTTAATGATTTTAAAATAAGGCTTGAGGTTTTTCTTCTCATTTTATCATCTATAATACCAAGTCCTCAATTTTTTTTGCTGCCTTCCTCCATTTTCTTCGTTTTGATGCTTTTCCAATTACGACCGCTGCAGACTATTCCAACACATTCGGCGTGCAAATTCTACAAAACAATAAATATCGCACGCATAATATCAAAATGGTTATGATTCTCACTAGCATGAAGTAGGGATTCTTTTTTTCTTTTATTGAAGATCATTTTTTGTTGATTGTGTGTTTTTTGCTTGCCTATATCATATATTCTGATTTGTATCCTTAAAGTTCATACTTTTCTTATTTTCTCTCGTTCACGTCCGTGTTCACATTTTTCTGGCAGGCTCACAGCACGGCTGCCTTCGAGGGACGTCTGTTTCACGCCATACTTCTTCTTGTTTTTTTGCCCGCCCAGGAGTTTTTCTTTTCTCTTACTTTGCCGGCTCTGCGCGTCGTTTTGTCGAAAACTTAAATTTCCAACAGACTGTTCGCATTAACAACGCTTCGTTTCACACTTATTTAATAACACAATGTGCGCACGCGCATTTGCCATAAAGGGCAGCGAAACGATGTCGCTCCACGTCGTGGACGGCAGCAGGAAAAAGGGAAAACTTTAAAAGAGACATGGCACTTATAAATCAAGCGTCGAAAGAAATAAGAAAAGGACAGCCTTAGACTGGCGGCACTTTAAAATATTGCAAAAATTTGAGGAAAACTCTGTAATTTACCTTGGAGAGAAAGTAAAAATATAAAATATTGAATTAAAATCAAATTCGACTTTTGGCAATTTATCCAGGGGTTGATTTATAAAACAAAATGAATGCAAAGGCTCAGCGATTAATGCGCACATTGAAAGAAAAGGGAACGTTGTGGTGTGGTGCGGAGACAAAGTTGCAAGTCGATAGGAAATTGCGGGAGTGAAAAAGACGTCGGTGCGAACACGGACATTTTCAATTTTAATTTCAATTTGCAGGCGCACCCGGTTCATTCATTCGCAAAAAACACAAGATGAAATCGGCGGTCGATGCTGAAAGAATTTCCGCAGTCAATGGAAAAGAAATTAATGGCGATTTGCAATTAAGAGTATTTTTTTCAACTCGCACGTAAAGTTTTCACTTCTAAATACCAAAGTGCGTTATTATTTTAATCAAAAAAATAAAAAATTTAAAAAAATTCATGCTGAATACTGCTTAGTATTGACAATTTGGAAACTTTATTCAATGCTCAAAAAAGACCAATGCATATTGCAACTTTAACAAAAAATACGCATTTGTGCCGTGTTTACAGTTGTTTAGCGTGTGAAACTCATCATAATTTCCCATTTCCCCATTTTCATTTCCTCCACTCTACTACTCTTAGCGCCTAGTCAAGAAGGCACCACGACGCCGTTGAAGAGTATTAGACAAGAGATGCACAATGCGGAGTGCTGGCACATTGTGTACAATTTGCTGCTGCTTTCGCACATACCGTTCATTCATCTCCATTCGACTCATTAGGGCGAACGCGACGAAATTGTGAAATGTCTCGCATTCTGGCTCGGGTTCCGCTGGTTAACGTAGCCTTAGAGATCTAAGTAAAGTCATTAGACATTTCATTTCTTGTTGGAAGTACTTCATTTACTTCATGCTCTTCTTCGTTATCAACACACGCCCACTGTGTTGCAAAATTCTAGTTTAAAAATACTTCAAAAATATTTTGCTAATGTCATGTATTCGTGAATATCTTAGGAATTCCAAATAAATTACAAATAAAAGGTATAATTATGTGAGTATTTCATTGTGACATAGGTAATTCTTGAAAATTCAATTAAGTGCAAGAAATAATTGTATGGAATTTTAAACATTATCAACTAAAAAACCCATTTTGTCATGCTTCAACTATGTTGTTTCCTATATATAACTGAGCTTGGTAATTCTGTATTCAATAGATAGAAGAGGCAACATGAAACTATCACTCCTGTTGGGTGTTATTTTAACAGTTGCCGCAAATACAATTGCGGTGAACTTTGAAATAAAAAATCATTTGGGGCGGACAATTTGGGTAGGCATTCAGGGTAATTCTGGAAAGCCTGCATTAAATAACGGAGGATTTGTTCTAAATGCCAATCAAGTAGTAAGTAGATAATTATAAATATATCAATTTTGCATTAATATTAATTTTTCCAAATTTCAAAATTAAGATAACCATTTCAAGTCCTGATAATTGGGCCGGACGATTCTGGGCGCGTACTTATTGCAATGATAATACAAAACATTGCGAAACTGGCGATTGTGGTAACAAATTGCAATGTAATGGAAACGGTGGTACACCTCCCGTGACCCTAGCTGAAATCACTCTGCGCGGTGATGGCGGTAAAGATTTCTACGATATATCTTTGGTTGATGGATTCAACGTAAAGGCACAGGTAATTTAAAAATAATAAAAATTGTCTCAGCTGCATCTATAAAATGATACAATTTTAGATTGAACCTGTTGGCGGAAGAGGTGATTGTAGAGCGGTAAAATGTGTCCAGCAAATTAATGATGTTTGTCCGGATGTTTTGAAAGTAAAGAAACAAGGTAACCCGTCGGAAACTATAGCCTGCAAAAGTTCCTGCCTTCAATTCAACACTGACGAATATTGTTGTCGTGGAAATCATAATAAACCAGCCACATGCAAACCCGACAATTGGGCTGTGAATTCCGCAAGAATTTTCAAACAACATTGTCCTGATGCCTATAGCTATGCCTACGATGATAAAAAAGCACTTTCACTTGCATCGCCAATAAGTATATAATTACATTTGGTTGATATATAATCACTATATCACATCACACATGATATATCACACTATTACAACAAAGCAATGTAGAAATAGAAGCATGTAGCAAAAATGTTCAATAAATAGCAAGCAATAAATTTCATTGACATAAAACTACTATTTATAAAAATGTTGGATCAATATAATATATCAGCTGGTGTGTACTATGACAATAATAAATATGCTAGTTTTAGACCTTTGCATTAGTCTCGCCGTCGCAGGAATAACTGCATCTCCAGCTGTAAAAGGTGGGTTGGAGAAATAGTGGAAATAAACGGCAAAAAGGAAAAGTGCTCCAGCGCGCCATGGCCAACATTCGAAAAAGGTATGACAAATTTCCGCCATAAAACATTATGTTAAAGTAGTACCTAACATGCCTACAATAACTTTCGAAAAGTTTCCCGAGTTCTTGAAAACGTTCACATGTCGCATTTGTCGAAGTTTCCATACTTGAGCGATGCATTTATCTTGAGCAAGGTCCGCCTTTCTGCGCAAAACGAGTTCTTATTTTCATGGGTGTTCCCGTTTATATTCCATGCGCTCTATATTTTAGCTATTTTTTGTATCACAACATATGTTAACCCACTTTTTTGCAGTTTTTTTGCATTATGCGACACTTTTTAAACCTTTCAGTATTTTATTTTTCTTTTCAACCATCATTTCGATCAGAACTAAATGCATATTCAAGCATGTAGCAAAAACCTGGCAGAGAGTCGACAATAAAAGCCGATTTTAAGCGTTTAAAGTCCCTCTCAACGTTGTATTTATCATATATTCAGTACATTGTCTGGAGTCTAGACGGAAAATGAAGTCCTTAAAGTATAACGTTATATTTTACACTACTTGATGCACTGTGAGTAAACAAATACTAATAGGAAGTTTAAAAACCCCGTCTCACAAATAACTTTAATGTCGCGATGCGCATTTCGAAGGCTAAGCCTTCCTCTTCAGGCGAAGGAATTATAAAACTGAACTAAAATTGCGTCTAATCCCTAATTTACCTAAAAATTCTTAATCCCCTGTTTAATCCTTTACCCCCACTCCCTAAAAATGTTTTTCTAATAAAACCTATAAATTCATAATACCCTGTTTAATCTTTTACCCCCACTCCCTAGCAAAAATATTGCAGTAAAATCTATTTCCAAGTATTCGACAATTAGGTATTTTTGAAAAATATTAAACAATTAACTCAAATAAACTTGAAGAAATTGGCCCGTTTTCTTGATTAAGAAGATGTTTGTTCTTATGTTTTAAAATTTCTATGCTTTCATAGGCATCTAATTGTCTTTGATTGGTAATAGATTTTACCAAGAACAAATTTTCTTGTCGGATGGGATGTTCTGACTCTTTAATATGTTGGGCTACTGCGGACTTTTCGAATCTATTGTATTTAAAATGCGCGATGTGTTCTTTAAAACGAGTTAAAATTGACCTTTTCGTTTGACCAATATATTGTGAGTCACAACATCCGCATTTAATTTTGTAAATACCCGACTTTAAAAACGTTTCCTCTTTATCTTTCGGATTACCTAGTAATTCTTTAATGTTACTGGTGTTTTTATACGCGATTTTTAAATTTTCATTTTGAAAAATTTTCATTTTTAAAGTCGGGTATTTACAAAATTAAATGCGGATGTTGTGACTCACAATATATTGGTCAAACGAAAAGGTCAATTTTAACTCGTTTTAAAGAACACATCGCGCATTTTAAATACAATAGATTCGAAAAGTCCGCAGTAGCCCAACATATTAAAGAGTCAGAACATCCCATCCGACAAGAAAATTTGTTCTTGGTAAAATCTATTACCAATCAAAGACAATTAGATGCCTATGAAAGCATAGAAATTTTAAAACATAAGAACAAACATCTTCTTAATCAAGAAAACGGGCCAATTTCTTCAAGTTTATTTGAGTTAATTGTTTAATATTTTTCAAAAATACCTAATTGTCGAATACTTGGAAATAGATTTTACTGCAATATTTTTGCTAGGGAGTGGGGGTAAAAGATTAAACAGGGTATTATGAATTTATAGGTTTTATTAGAAAAACATTTTTAGGGAGTGGGGGTAAAGGATTAAACAGGGGATTAAGAATTTTTAGGTAAATTAGGGATTAGACGCAATTTTAGTTCAGTTTTATAATTCCTTCGCCTGAAGAGGAAGGCTTAGCCTTCGAAATGCGCATCGCGACATTAAAGTTATTTGTGAGACGGGGTTTTTAAACTTCCTATTAGTATAACGTTATAAATTAACACGCAATCCCTTAACCTTCCTCTCTTACTGTTATTATGTTGCCAGAAATAACTTCCCAAAATTAATTGCAAAAATGTATCCTGTATAAGAAGAGTTACGTTAAACAGAGTTCCTTTTTTGTTCTTTTTTTCTCAGGAGCGCTCAGTGATCACCATTGTGCCAATATTCGCTTGTTTTTGACTAGAGCGCATACATAAACTTTTTTCCTTTCAGGTGATTGCCATATCCAGATGATTGTCATCATCTGCAATCACCTCTTTTATAAGGAGACCAATGTATGTGTTCAAAAAAAGAACCGCAAGCAGATAAAGTTTAAGAAGGATAATATATAAATTAAAAATTTATCATCAGTTAATAAATAAGTAATAAGTAATAATAAGTAAAAATAAGTATCTGTATAGAATTTTAACAATTATTATTTGTGCCCTCGTTTTTCAATCCTCAAAGACCTTTAAACTTTTAATTTTAATATAAATTTATTACCTTCACACTACTGTGCTCATTTCTTGACATTTTCCATAAAGTTTCTGGCGACAAAATTAATGTCAAGACTAAAATGCAGATGACTATATCTGCATCAGGGTCTTTCGATTTTTGGTATTTGTAGATAAAGAAATAAATTGGACAGGAAAACAATATTGTAGTAATAAATTTCAGTTCATAAAAATGTAAAATCAAAGAACGAAAATAATTACCTCAAAGCTACATGAATAGGTATATATTTTATGTAATCTGATTTTCATATTATGGAAATTAGTTTTGCTCATCTTGGTGAGAGGATGATATTTCAGAAAATATTTTTTTTGTATGAAATGTTGAAAAGGTATATACAATAAAACATAAATTTTAGTAGGAAATAAACAAAAATAAACCTTTGAAAATCAAATTACCGCTTATTAATTGATGTCATGTGCTTTTTGAAGGAAATCAAAGCATTACAACCTTTGTTATTTCCATAATATTAAAAGCAAATTACGTAAATTCCAATTTATGCGTTATTAATATTTCGTGGGCACGGAATATCGTCATAAATCGGAAAAACGCGCTGCGCCGTAAATGATGGAAAACTAACAAGAATAACCGACTCGTTTTCACAGGGCTGAGTTGGGCGGGTGTTGGGCCGTTAATTGCTTATTCTCGTTTTTCACTTACACCGGCGCACGCAGACAACACAATAATGCAAATCGAATCGAATCAACGCAGGCCAATTCATTTTGTAAACATTAATTCTTCTACTTTCGCAATTTATGATTTCCATTCTCGCGTTTTCATTTATATTAGCATTTGCATTTTGATTCATTTTGTCTGCAATTACTCTGCTTTATAAAAAGAATATTTCGTATCGTAATGATGGTAATTCCTGAGAAACATACAAAAATGTTCTTTTGGATTAGCAATAAATCCAATAGCAATAAAAGAAAATAGAAGGTTATAATTATAACTAGCTTTAAACTTTGAAAAGTATTGAGTAAGAATTTAATTATAATCATTCAAATACAACAATATTTTATCTGTAGTAACAATACAAGCTACTTCTTACTTAGTGCGAGAAGTATATGCATTGTCTGGCGTTGATTAGTTTCTCCTCCGACGCCGCCGCCAACCGCCGCTTACATTGAGTCGACAAGATGGATTGCGCGGATAAAAGCGCGTGTTCGTTATCTCATTTACTTTACGCCTGCTCGACGTTGACGACTACTCCAAGCAACGAAATCGTCCGTCGGTAGACATGTCGGAAAGTGCCAAGAAACCAGGCGAAGGTAAAGCCACATCGTGCAAAACTACTCCCAGCAGTCAGAAAAAGCGTCTGACAGATAAGAAAACGGAATACGCCGAATGTATATCGAAGGTATCTCGTCCACCAAATCCCTATCTTCAATCCACCACGATTTTAAAGATATATCTGTGTGTTATATTAGGTTACGTTTAAAACAACAATTTGAATTTAAATATTTAAAGCACTTCCTATCGGGAATTTGGCACACTTCCCACTTTCACATATTAAAAATTACGTACGCCGCCCAAATTTTACCGTGTCTTGCGCATGCCACTCGGATGTGACAACCCCCCACATGGGGCACACGTGACGAGCAATATTAAGTTTGCCCGGATGAACTGGATCGCGGTTGGCAAGCAGTTGACAGTGTGCATGCTCGTCCTTCATACGCCAAATGCAATATCAGTGAATACGCGGTATACGACGCAGTGTCAAACGCACACAGATTTTCTTGGCCTCGGATCGAGGGCTGAAGTTTAAGCACCCTGGGACATGTTAGACATTTTCGGATAATAAAGGTTGACGCACCCTTCGCGTTGATACTCCCGAATATCAAGACAAAACTTGACTTTAATCCTATAATCAATGAATCCACTTGGCAAGTACAAACTTGGACTTCGATCCTATTAAAATAAGCGGTAAATTTTTATCAAATATATATGCCAATTAAAAGATCTCTTGTTTTCAAAGTATGTCGTAATGCACGCACACAACTCATTTATGTTTTTAACCCGAGTGCAAATTGCCGCGTAGTTTTGCGCGCTAAGCTGTTAAAATTTTATTCAACCTAAAAATTTTGAATTTACCAGCGGCAGGTAGTCGTCGTGCACGATTCGCCCGTAAAAGAGAGGTGAGTAAATCTCGGAATTTTTGGTTCAATGAATATCCACCGTGCCAGGAATACGTTCCATTCACATTCTGCAAGCAACGAACGAACGAGAAACGACACCCACAACGAATCTTGAATGCATGCATGCATGCAGTATACCAGCTTAGAACGGATCGTCTTTTCGCCCTTTAGTAAAAGAGCGCAATGTGAGCGCAAACTTTGGTATCCAACTTATACGATCTTAC